TGACGATGATGTTCAAGAATGGTATAGATCTGGCGAGATTGATATTGTTCTTAAAAGTATAAAAGATTCAAAGGATATGACTGACGAATTTTTTGAAGAGGTATTAATTTAATGTGGTAAATTATAAAATCTTTATTTGCGATTAATCCTTTTTCATCTCTTTTTTTTTTTGTTTTAGATTAAACTTCAATTGACCTCATACGTAGAATTTGGCTTTATTATTAGATGTTATGGAATAACTAAATGTCCAAAATCTGATAATTACATGATGATTATGGATTATAAAAAGGACGGTAGCCTTCGAAAATATTTAGATCAAAACTTTAGACTTTTAAAGTGGAAACAAAAAATAGATCTTTTGTACACAGCAGCTAAAGGTCTCTTTGATATCCATGAAGCAAACTTAGTACATAAAGATTTTCATTGCGGAAATATTATTATTTCTAAAAATTATTCTTATATAGCTGATTTTGGTTTATGTAAAAACGTTAACTCTGAAGCTCAAGATGGTGTATTTGGGGTATTGCCATACATTGCTCCTGAAGTATTATGTAGCAAACCGTACACAAAAGCTGCAGACATCTATTCTTTTGGAATAATTATGAATGAGGTTGCGTCAGGATATCCTCCATATTATAATGTTTCACATGATATAGATCTTGCACTTCAAATTGTCAGCGAAGGACTTCGTCCTGATTCTAATGAAGACATGACACCACAAGCCATTAGTAATTTGATCAAACGTTGCTGGAGTGAAAATCCTAAAGATCGACCTGATGCTGTTGAATTGGTTAATATATTTGGTAGTTTCAGACAGAAAGAAAGTGAAATATGGTCCGAAATTGATGCCATGGAAAAAAATATAGATTTTAGCATACTCACAACTGAAGCTTCACAATTTCTAAATTACAAAACATCGAAACAAGCAATCTACACTAGTAGACTTATTACACTTCCACCAATACCAGGTAATTGCTAATTATATATTATTTTACTTTAAAATCGTCATATAGTATTAATGTTAATATTTCAATTTTATGTCAATTTTATATGTTTAGAATCATGGGATCTTCCATCAGATTAATCTAATTTGATCATTAAACGGTTCCAATTCTAAAAAAAACAAATAGAATTCTCTGCA